AAATGTACTAAGACCTCATGGGAAATAGAACTTGACATTCCAAGCCTAAGCCCCCTGTCTCCCTCTTGGCTGCATGCCAGGTGCTAGCACACCGGCATCCGGTGCTCCATCTCCGCACGTGAGGATGCTATAGAGATGCTGCTACTATTGCTGCGACGTTGATCGACGATGAACGCATGGCAAACGAACAAGGCGGGTAGGCGTTTTGTTGTTGGTGGTGCGTGAGGACGTACACCTACTTCCACTACATCGACGCGACGATGTTGGATTGGACTACTCTAACTTTTTTTTCCGCCGCATTGCGTGTCTAGTGGTAGTGATCCATGATCCCTTACTTGCATGTATTGGTTGAACGTGCTAGATCTGCTAGCACAGCGTATCCATTTTCCTATGTATACATCATTTATCTGCTTAGTGGAGAAAATACTCTTCGAATGAAATTTGTGCTACTACTACACAATATGGCAGTGTCCTGTGTCCCAGCATGCAGGAACAGACTGCACACTGTTGAACAGCGACAGAGGGGGTAGGTAAATCCTGCAGACATTGCGTCCCACGCATTGGGCAGATACAAAAATCTGGGAAGATCGAAATAAAAGGCAGCACTTTCGGTGCTATGTTATGTGATGGCGATCTCTTGGTCGTCTCTTTTGGATCAGGTCAGCAAAGTAAAGAGTGGTTTAACGATCGACACTATCGCGTTGACTTCTTGCTTATGTCATAGCAAGAAGCTTTACGACGATGAGGAGTCAAGGTCTGTAGCTACCTTTATCCACTCCAATGATCTATCAATAGGCAATGTTTGGCCCTCGTTGCTTCATCCAAATTTAAAGCATGACTAATAATTTAGCCAGCCACAAGCTGTATGACATTGCCACATCATATAAATAAGCTAATACTATAGCTAACTGATATAATAGACTAACCATTTAGCCGGCTATTAGGTTGGTTGAAATACAGAGTAAGAATTTAATGTTTGCGTGTAAATACGATCTAGTGCAGTCTAGTACCCCTGTGCTCTTTTCTTCAAACAACATAGTAGAAAAACTACACAGAAGAACACAGAGAATTAAGAACAGGGGGCAACTGCCTGCATTGATCCAAGAACAAGAACAGAGGAATTAAGAGCAAGAACGAGAAGAGCAGGCCATCGGCTTCTTTTTTTTTTTAGAAATGACGGCAAAAGCTTTGCCGCTAGTTTTATTAGTTGATGCAAAAAGAAAAAAACTGTACAAGAAAATTTACAACATATCGCAGGCCTCACCCATATAGGGAAACAACAACAACTACTACTACTACAAAAGCTCAACTGAAATAAACACTAGGGAGGCGATCTGCGACCACAAAGACAAACTGAAAGCAGAAAACTGCCTTAGAGGAAAATTGCCACTAATCAGGATGAGTGGCTTCATGCCGTGGAGCGAAAGCCAACTGATATTGCATTATATCATCCTTGCAGAGAGAAGCCACTTGTGCTCGATTGAGGCTTTGTCGTTGGAAAATCCTTCTATTCCTTTCCTTCCATATATTCCACCACAAATAGATAAAAATTCCGTCCACGTCTCCTCTCTGTTGCCTTTCGATTTTTCGCCTTCATCTCCACCAATAGACGTATAATGAGCCTGAATCACTAATTGAATCCAGAACCGACAAGTTGAACCATCTTCTCAGGATGCCCCAAGTCTCCTTGGTGAAAGGGCAGTCCTTGCACAGGTGTTTTGGAGTTTCTGAATCATTCCCGCAGAGCTTGCAATCAAGGTCGTTGTCATCAGTCCATCCACGTTTGAACAAGTTGTTTGCAGTGAGGATCTTCTTATGCATTAAGGTTCACGCGAAAAAACGACACTTGTGCTCTGCTTTGGCCTTCCAAATAGGAGTTAATTTGATCTTGCTAAAAACTCCAATGAACTGAATCTGATAGGTGCTGCGTGTGGTATACTCCCCATCTGCTGTCCATCTCCAACTAATACTATCATCTATTGTATCATCGAGAGTAGTATCTCATACCGCCTCCCAAAGTCTAACGAACTGTCTTATTTCTTCTTGTGATATCGGTGGATAGATGTGATCAATCCATTTGTTATCTGTTACTGCCTGCCGTACTGTAATCTTTTTTCTTTTCGACTTCTCATACAATAGTGGTACTATGACCTTTGGCGAGGTTCCGTTAATCCAGCTCGATGACCAGAAGGGGGCCGTCCTTCCATCCCCAATGGTAACTAATGTCGATGCATAAAAGAGATCCCGGTCGGCTTTGTCACAAGGTACATCCAATCTGTTCCAAGCTCTTTGCTTTTGTTTCCACTAAAACCATAGCCATCTAAGCCTCAGAGCTCTAGTAAATCTTTCCAAGTCCAGAATTCCCAAACCACCTTTTGTCTTCGGTAAGCAAGTCGTTGGCCAGTTGATGAGTGAATGACCTCCACTTACCCTTTCCGGATATCATGGATTTGATGTTTAACTTAGAACAAGAAGAGGAGTTAAGAGCGAGGACGAGAAGAGCAAGCCATCGGCTTCCATGTCTAAATTAGATTAGAAAATCACCTGCAATTATGGAGGTCCAATTCTGCTACTTCCTGGCTTCCTGCATCCCTCCTAGGTATTGCTCGTCAGCTCGTGGCTGCCGGCATAGGGCAAGGACAGAGCCGCGCTACATCTATCTATGCCGCAGCCCGCAAGCGCAACTCGGACGTAGCTGTTCGAAACGGCTGTGGAATCATTGGAAGGGAAAGGAGTTTGATGAATTTTGAATTAGATCGGGTTCCTAACGAAATATTTGCAACTCCAGGTCGGGTGCTTCGTCCGCTGGGCCTGGGCCGAGCCTATGAACAAGCCCAGGACGACCTTTTTCATTTATGTTTTTCTTTTTCCAATTTCAATTAAAATTGAGATCATGCAAAATCAATATAAAATCAAATAAATATCGTAAAATAAAAAAATTCAATTTTTTTAGACTCATGATAATATAATCTACACATTCCCTATATAAAACATTATTCTTAAGAACAAAATATTGGTTGCAATAGTAAATCAAGGGGTTTTTTGTGTTTTATTAATAGAGCCTGCTTATGTAGTCCAACTGCAGTAAACTTTTTTATGGTAGCCTACCCTTAGTGTTGGGCAGGGTCCTATTCGTCGTGATCCCCTCGCCCCACGGCGTTCCACACTTTTTGCCATTGATTTGATTTTGCAGGTCGCATGATTTCGCCAAGTTTCGCAGGGCGTCGGCGGAGTTTCCCCAGAATGGCAAGGAGCAACACTCACTCGCACAACGGGGTCAATTCGCTCGAGCCAAAATGCGGGGAGGCAAGGGTAGGATTTACGAAGTAGGAGTTCGAAATGGCGGGGTTTCCCCTTATGCGAAGGCGGTTCACGGCGGCTCCCTAGCGAAGCCAGTTTGTGTGGTCCCCGCGGCCGTGGGTACTTGGATCCCCTTTTGATTGTTGTGACTTGACTAGAGTGGGGGCATGACAGTCTTTTGTAATGCAAGAGGAGGCCTATAAATAGTGCTCCCCCGAACAACAGCGTAAGAGGATGGATGATGATTCCATGATTGATTTTACAAGTTTCGCTATCTTCCTTTGCCCACTTTTGTTATAGCTTCGCTACTCCCCAGTGTTATTCGTAGTTCGGCAGCTCTCCGGTGTTTGAAGACTTCGGTATAGAATAACATTGGCGCCCACCCCGCGGTTGTCGCTCTAACTTTCCAGTGGCACCAAGGAGGGGCGCAAAGGGGGCAGTGGGAGCAGAAGATGCAATGTCATCGAAAGCGGCTGAGGCTGCAAAAGAAGACGCTGCTACTATTAGAGGCTGCAAAATAATTCACTGGCGGAAAATATGTGGTGCCAAATTTTAAATTTTTAAAAATAATTCACTGGCGGTTATGCTACTATATAGCCTCTAGAAAACATTTTCTAGAGGTGACTCTTTTAGGTAAACCGCCGGTGTAAAAACATATTCACTGGCGGTTCACATAAACCAACCGCCTATGCCAATGGGTTTACACTGGCAGTTGACTTAGGTGAACCGCCAGTGTAAATCTATTTTACACCGGTGGTTGGATTAAGCAAACCGCCTGTGTAAATCCATTAACACTTGCGCATCTCAAGTAGGTGCATTAATGTTTGCAATTTTCACTGGCCTTTCACACTGGAAATGGCCCTAAACGCCAGTAGAAATAGGTCTGGAACCACCAGTACTGAACTCAATTGTACCAGTGATGCACACCTAAATGGCACAGTTTGTAATGTATGTCAACGCAGATAGTGCCTCTAAAGTTGATGTAGAAAATAGCTCGGGTAACTAGGTCTATTGCTTTTGCTCTTTAAGAGATAGACATGGTCGTAGATTTTTCTTTTGTTCCATGTTTTATGGAACACGAGGCCTAGGCTCAGCCGAGGACACCTGCATTAAGAATGGGGACGACAACCTACATAGCATTCTATAGTCATTCTATTTGTGTTGCGTTCGTTCTATTATAAATTTTGAATAGCAAGGCTCCTCTGTAATTTTCACATATGGTAGAACTAGAACATAATGGAATTACTAGGAAAACATGATAATATTTGAGTATTATTAAATATTCTAAAATGGTGGACAAAATATGTTCATCATTCATGTGAAGTTACGAAGCCGTGCTAAAGGTGTCATATGTTTATTTTCTTAGGGCTTCTTTGGCTGCACTCGTATTCACTTTACTCCATGGCTGTTGAAGTGGATAGAGGTAAAAATTAGTTAATTTTAGACTCCGGTATATATGAATTGATGTGGATAGGAGTGCAGCCAAGCAAGGTTATAGCTAGGGTTTTACAACATAGTCCTGTACCACAGGTAATTTCTGCTCCAAATTTGATCAATTTCTGCTACAAATTTGGTCAATAGCCATCTCATCCATACTGATGCGATCAGTATCAAATCAGTGTCTTCTTATGTGGAGGAACGGCAATTTGCAAGAGGATGGAGCTCTTGAACGAACTTATTCCAATAGGCAATCTTGATCTTCAGTTTGCTGAGAATTTAAGATTTGATTGAAGTTTCTCCCAAAATTTTGGCACCTCTTCGTTGCTAGCTCTTTCAACCTCAACAAGCAACATTTCCTCGTGCAGCAGATGAACACTTGCTTGCGCGACGAATTTCCCGTCCATTGCTTCAAATAGAATCCCTCCAAACCCTGCCTCTTCCTTCCTCCTCATCCTGAACCCTTCTTCACGCCCTAGCTCCTCAACTTTGTCCAAGATTGACCTGGCATTTATACTCGAACTCGATACAACAAATCGAGCCCTATCTGGCAAAGTCCCGATCAAGCCGCTCAGGTCACACCCTGACGCGAATGTAAGGATACCAAATGCATTCATCTCCCTTGCCAGCTCTGATTCTGCTTCCCATTTCACCACCTCAGGTGTAGGATGACAAGAAGAAGCAACTGGAACTGGGATGGACATGCCATCTTGTTGTAACCAAGGGTGGCTTAAGATTTCACCAACCTTTATGCGTCTATCAGGCTCCGGATCCAGCATCCTCCCGATGAGGGACCGGAGCTCCGAGGAGAACCACTTGGGGCACCGGAACTTCCCCGAGCAAATCTTGCGGTACATGCCCATGAGGTTGCCGTCGTTGAACGGTAGGTAGCCGGCGGTGAGCGAGAACAGCACGACGCCGCATGACCACACGTCGGCCTTGACGGGGTCGTAGCGCTTCTTGAGGAGGATCTCCGGAGCGACGTAGGCAGGGGACCCACAGGCCGTGGCCGTGAGCCCGTCGGCACCGAGCTGGCGGTTAGCGAAGGCGCAAAGCCCGAAGTCGGTGAGCTTGAGTCCGCCGCGCTCGTCCAGGAGCAGGTTCTCCGGCTTCACGTCCCGGTGGAACACGCCCCGCGCGTGCGCGTGCTCCAGCGCAGAGACGAGCTGCCCAAAGAGCCGGCAGGCGGCGGGCTCCTCGGATCGTCCCCTATCCTCCAGCGCGGATTGGACGCTGCCGCCGCGTGCGAGGTCCAGCACGAGGTACACGGTGGAGCGGGAGGCCAGGACGTCGAGGAGGCGCACGACGTGTGGGTGGCCCTGGACGCGGCGGAGCGCGGCGAGCTCCCGCTCCACTGACCGGCGCGCTGCCGCGGCGTCCTCTGGCGAGCACGGGTGGTGCGGCTTCCGGACAGCCTTGACGGCGACGTAGACTCCCGAGCGGACGTCGCACGCGTGGTAGACCTTAGACGAGGCGCCCCGGCCGAGGACGCGGCCGAGGTCGTACCTGCCCTGAAGGACCTTCGTGTAGCTTTCTGCCGCGGCGGTAGAGGCCACCGATGAGTCGTCCGGTTCCGGTGGCATCTCCGGTGAAGCGGAGGCTGAACGCGCGCTTAGCCGGCTTTGGAAGAAATGCTAGTGGAGTTTGTTGGAACTTCAACCTCGCCTTCCAATGAAAGGTGTGCTTGTACCTTGGATTCTTGGTTTGGTAAGTAGCCGTGTTTATACAAGCGTCTAGTGTTTTACAAGCATCTAGTGTCCTGGATGAATCCCTAAAAGATTGTTGATCTTCTATATATGATGGCATTGACATGGATGCTGTGTCGTTTTTAAGAACACGTGTAGCTATATAGTGATAGACCGATACTGTAGTGTATATTCTCCGCTTATTCATATTTATAAGATGATTCATTTTTGTGAACCATTATAAGATGAAATGTGGAGGTGCAAATGTCAAAAGGATGCTAACAAACTCCGCAAAAGTTGTACTTCATTTTTACATTAGTATTAACGTTGGAGGGTGTATGTAGTGACACTGATTTTTTTTTAGAACAGGAGGGGCTTACGCCCCTGCTGAAAATATATTAAAAAAGGAGGTCCAAACAAAACAGAAACAAAAACAGCAACAAAAAGGGGAGCTGAAGCTCAAGAAACAAAAAAAAGAAACAGGGAAGGGCAATTACAATGTCTGCTCTAGCCATAAACTGATTGCAGGGAGGTACTTTTTCTTTGCCCTTAGAATAACTTGGCCAAAGAAACTTCTGAAGAGGGCTTTACACCTTTCATTGGTAGCTTCTTAGTGACACTGATTTTGCCATTGATCAATCAGCATACTATTGTGATAGAGATCAATACAGATAGAGGATATGAATCGACATATATATACTGATACGAACATAGGTAGTGGGATATAGTCATATAGATACACTCTCAATGTTCAGTTCTGTACTATCATCATTTGTGTGCTATTTTATACACAAATTTGTTAGTTGATCTCCACAAATTGGCCCAACGGCCAATTGAGACCTTGGATCCACGCTCTGATCGGGGGCGGCCAACCCTAATATGATTGGTGGGCCCCCGTCGCACAGCGCCATAAATAGAAAGTGGGGGCCGGGGGCACCAAGCACGAGGTTCGCCTGAGCCGCTTAGCACCCCACCTACAGTCTAAACCCTAACCGATCACAGAGGGGGCGCTGCCAGCGACGGGAAGCGCCGCCACCGCCTCTGCATCTACACCGAAGGGCTGCTACGATGCCGGGCTGCCCTGTGACCTCTACACCGACCCCTGGACGCCGCTGCTACTGCACCGCCTCCCTTCGACTCAGCACCGCCACCGGGTTATCATCGCCAAGCACTGCGATGGCGAGCCCATCTTCATCCAAGGCGGCCGATGGTTTACACCCCTTCACCCCTCTCTCTCTCATTCTATCTCTAATCCAGTACTAGTAGATGCTTCTAGGACTCACGGTTTACTCAAAGTGCAAGTAGACATGCTAGATTTATGTCTAGAGATCCTGCTTTAACTCTATCAATGGTATCAGACGCCTAACTAGGTGTAGATCTAGCCTATCGGATAAGAAAATTGAGTAGCAGCATTTAAAAGGAGATGATAGATTCGGTTTTAGAACTAAACAGAGGGTTCATCAAACCCTAAACCTAAATCGGGTGAAGAAAAATAGTAAGAAAGTGTTTTGGTTTTGAACAGCAACTCAAACCCTAACCCTAACCCGCGCGGACCGCCCGGGGAAGATGAACAATAAGGAAACCCTAACCCTAATCTCGATCCTAACCCCATCCCCAACCCTAAATCGGATAGATCCGAGAAGAAAAGAAAGGAAAATCAAATCAGAGAAGAAAAGGGGAAGGGGAATAGGCCTACCTCGTTGCTGCACCACGCTGCCGCCTCGTCGGTGCGCGGGCGCGTGCTCTGGCCAAGGGCGCCGCGACCAGGCCGCTCAACGGCGGCGCGCTCACCCGCTGGGGAGCGTGCACGCCGACGAGAGGGCCGGCGACGGCGCCGTCATCGCCTCACTCCATGTCATCGCGGGGCTGAGACAAAGAAGGAGGAGAAGCAGCCAGGTCAGATCTAGGGTTTTGGAAGCTCCTCACCGTAGTGCACGTGGGGCTCAGGGCACCGCCGCCCAGACCGCTCGACGGCGGTGTGCTCACCCGCTGGGGAGCACGCACGCCGGCGAGGGGACCGGCGACGGCGCCATCTTCGCACTTGCTTCCGCTCGGTTGCTGCTGCTCGTTGCGCTGAGGAGAGAAAGCAGCGAGGCGAAGAGAGAGAAAGAACAGAAGTGAATGAGTTAGGGTTTTCAGCGCCGTGGCCGGCCGGGGGTTTTGATCAACCGAAATCGCCGCCTGGCCATCGGATCTGGATTAACGGACGAGAGTGGCTGGACCAAAATCAGCCCAGGCGGGCGAGCACGGCGGGCGACTTTGCCGGCCTAAGCCCAAGTTGCGGCCTAGGCGCGGGGGAGGTGCCGCGAGCGCGTGCGCGGGGGCTGCGGCTGCAGGCCGGGCCGCGCACTGTTGCAGATGGTCCGGTTGCTGTTGCTGCAGGCCGGGTCATAATGAACAGTAAATAATGTTTGAAGTTTATTTAATTTTCAGAAGCAGATTTCGATGAATTTTGTCTAGTTTAATATCTCTGTTAAAATTTAAACTAACGGGATAATTTTTTAGAGAATAGTTGAGAAAAGTTCAATGCTTCTAAAAAATAGATAATGAATTTTTTCATGTTTCCGCTGCAATGTTAAAGTTAATAATCTTCTAATTAAATTCGAACCAAGAGTAGTCAATTTTAATCAGTAAATTATAATATTGTTATTTTTTTGACCAACGTTGATAATAGCAATATTATAATGTTTAATCATAAGTTTTTCATGCATTAATTCTATTTCTGTCCAACGGTAATGTAGAATTAGTGTATAAGAATATTGTATGTTTTAATTTTGACCAACGTTAAATCAAAGCATGCAATTATAATGATATATTTTCTCACTATCTCTGATGATGTTTTTCAGGACTCAACGCAATGGCATTCATCTCGCACATACCACCCCTTGAAGGGGGCAATTACAGAGTATGGCGAGAGAGGTATGAGCTCGCACTTGCGCTGTCCAAGAATGACTTAGCGCTCACCTCCCCGTGTCCTACTGAGCCAGTGGACCCGGTGTGGGAAGAAAATGAGTCTGATGCTAATTTCACTGCTCGGCAGCGAGATCATGAGAAGTACACATGAAGTATGATCTTGAGCACTAGAAATGGGACATATCAAACCGCAAGTGCTTGATGGTGGCTAAGTCCACAATCTCAGATGCTATAAGGGGGTCTATCCTAGACTGTGATACCGCCACTGAGTACCTTAAGAAGGTGGAGAGTTAGTTTACTGGCTCTTCAAAGGCTTATGCTAGTACATTGATCAAGAAATTGTTCAATGAAAAATATACTGGTGGCGGTATCAGAGAGCATATATTGAAGATGAGCAACACGGCTTCGAAGCTGAAGCCAATGGATTTGGGGCTCAAGGATGAGTTCCTGATTCATTTGGTTTTTTCTTCCTTGCCAAAGGAATATGAAACCTTTGTTGTTAACTACAACATGCAGCCCGACAAGTGGGACATAGAAAAACTAATCGCAATGTGTGTTCAAGAAGAGGAAGGGCTAAAGTCCTTACAGGGTGACTCTGCTAACCTTATCAAGGACAAGAAAAAGAACTTCAATAAGAATGACAAACCTCAAGGGAAAGCCCCTCAAACTGAGCACCATCAGAAGAACAACAACGCTCAAGTTAAAAACGATCAGTGCAAATGGTGCAAGAAGCATGAACACTACCAGAGGGACTGTCCAGACTTTCTAAAGAACCTGCTGAAGAGAGGGATTCCGTACAAGGAGGACCCTGCAAAGAGGAGAAAGAAGAATTAAAGTAGCAAATGGAGTTGAATCTCAAGTTGAAGCCATTGGAGATCTTTCTCTAAAATTAGTTGATGGTTTTCTACTTAAGCTTTCAGATGTTCTATTTGTACCCTCTTTGCGAAGAAACTTAATAAGTGTTTCACGTTTAGATGACGATGGATATGATTGCATTTTGGTAATGGCAAATGTTAGATTGTTTATAATAATAAATGTGTTGGTCTTGCCTTCCGACAAGACAAGCTTTATTTATTATCACTTTATGAGAATGTGAATGATGTAAGTACTGAGAATGAGAATGCTTTCTCGTCTATGAATGCAACAAATAAGCGGAAGAAAGTGCATGATGTATCTTTGAAATTATGGCACTGTCGTTTAGGTCATATTTCGAGGGGGAGAATAGAGCGATTGATTAAGAAATCAATTCTTCCGCCTTTAAAATTTTTAGATTTAGAACAATGCATAGATTGCATAAAAGGAAAGTATGTTCAGAAAACAAAGAAAGATGTCAAACGAAGCGCAGGAATTTTAGAAATAATCCACACAGACATCTGTGGTCCTTTTCCTATGAAGAGTGTGGATGATTATGATTCATTTATAACATTCACAGATGACTATTCTCATTTTGGCTATATTTATCCAATTAAAGAAAGATCGGAAGCATTGGATAAATTTAAAATATTCAAGGTTGAAGTAGAAAATCAGCACAACTTAAAGATTAAGGTAGTAAGATTTGACCATGGGGGAGAGTACTATAGTTGACACATCCCATATGGCCAAGTTCCTGGACCTTTTGCAAGGTACTTACAGGAAAATGGCATAGTAGCCCAGTATTCTACACTAGACGAGCCTCAGCAGAATGGAGTAGCTGAAAGACGTAACCGTACCTTAATGGATATGGTGAGAAGCATGATAAGTTACTCTACTTTACCAATAAGTTTATGGATGGAGGCATTAAAAACCACCATTCATATTCTTAATCGAGTGCCAAGTAAGTCGGTGCCCAAAACACCGTATGAGTTGTGGATAGGAAAGGAGCCCTCACCAAACTATTTACGTGTGTGGGGTTGTCCTGCTGAGGCAAAAGTATTTAACCCAAATATAGGAAAGCTGGACTCTAAGACAGTCAGCTGTCATTTCATTGGCTATCCAGAAAAGTCAAA